AGGTTGGCACATCTGTAGAGCTCTCCCTAGGGGAGCCATCATTTGGTGAGGCACATTCTGCTTGCTTTAGAGGGTCCAACTGGCAGGCTTTGCACCTGCTGCCTCCGTCCCACTCCAATGGCTTATTTAAAGTTCAGTTTTCAATCTTCTCAGTGAGTCTAGTGAAAAAGCTACTTGAGTTGAAAGTTTGAGGCAGGTAGTGGCTGCTTTGGCTAGTGTTTAACTAGAAGCCAGGGGCTTTTAGAAACTTTAGGGAGAATTTGGAAGAAATTGGGGCCAGCAGCCCAAGGCAGCTTGGGTAGGAGCTGGGGACAAGGAATCCGTGTGTTTGGAGGGGGAGGGCTGGTGCTTGCTGTCCCTGAGAAGTGGCAGATGTTTCCTACGCGTACAACGGTCACCTGTCCTGGAAGGTCGGCAGCTCTCGGACTGCTCAGTGTTGTCTTGAAAAAATTGCCATTCTCTGCGGCAGGAACAGCCTGGGGGTGGTGGCCCTCTGAGCCTGGCTGCTGGGACTGTGGCTAGGGCTCATCTGGTGTCTGTAAAAGGGGGCACGGGTCATAGGGAGAGGAGAGCCAGCCCCCTTCTCCATCGGGGCCCCTTTTCATCTTGCAAAATACATGGTTTTCATAATTCAAACTTGGTGGGGGGCACCCTCAGTGACATTTCTATTAAACAAGATAAACTACTTGGAAACCGAGTGGGACACACCAGGGTTGGCTTACCGTTATCAAAGTACAGTCTTTGAAAGGTAAAAAAAAATGACTCTCAGGCACAAAAAAAAAAAAAAAAAAAAAGGCACAGAGGAACACCTGCAACACTTCTAACCCTCCAGCGAGGGCGCCGACAGGGCGGTAAAAGCGCGGCGTTCATGGTTACCAAAGCGGGACTGCGAGGGTCCGCGTGGGGACGCTCAGTGTCATAGGGCAATAAACCTGCCATCTTCGGAGCCGACTTCTTCCACGGGATAAAAACGACTTACACTGTATCCGTCTACACGAGGACATCTGGCTCCCTGGAGCTGAGGCCTTAACGGAAATGGTAGAACGTCAGTCGCAGGTGCGTTTCCCTGGCTGCGGGGTTGGCAAGCTACCCGGCCCATCGTCTGCTTTTGTAAATAAAGTTGTATCGGGCACAACGTGCTTTTGGCCACAGGCCTCCCCGCCCAGCAGCTGAGCGGCCTGGGGCGTGTGGCAGGAGCGTCTGCTCGCCGACCCTCTGCAGAGAAAGTGACCCGCCCCCCTGTGCTGGGGCGTGAGGTGCAGCGCCCAGGGGTGCGTCTTACCCACAGGGCTCCAGAGGAAAACTGAATGGCCCTGCAGTCAGCCTCTGGCCTCCTATGCGAGTGCTGGATAATTTTTCTTACCATTGTCTCGGCCGGAAGGCTTATGTGTTCGGAAAGTTTTTGTTAGGTCTTTGCTGACACCTCCTTTGAACTTGAGGACTGACCCTCGGACGCAGCCCCAGCCCAGGAAGCAGGCCCCTTCCTGCCCTCACGAAGGCCTTCCCCGAGGGCGGGGTCCTCGCGGGTCCGAGATAATTGTCTGCCTTCCATATTGCTTCCTGCCATTGAATTCCAGCCCTTGGGCCCCTGCAGACAGATGATTAATAATGGTAATAATAGTAATGATAGCGTCCACAGTGGCTGCCTGATATCAAGCCTGCAGCGGGCCTCTGCAAGGGTCCAGTGTTTTACCCACAGCTTCTCTTTCAGGTGTGAGAAGGAGTTAAGGGACTCATTTTACAGACAGGAAAACTGAGGCTCCCAGTAGTTCTTTAGAGAAACCCTCATGGCGTGCCTGGGGGGTGGGAAGCGTTATGCATGTCACCTCTCCCCTCCGACTGGGTGGACCCTGTCATTCTTTTGACCCAGGAACATAGCGTTCAGAGCCATGAGCCTGAGGTTCTGGTCTTGGCCCTGATGCTTCTCGGCTGAGCAAGTCTTGTCTCCGCTGTGAGGTGGAGGTAATGCTGCCTGCCCCCCTCCCTGCCAGGGTCCTTGTTAGAATGAAGTAAGACTCTAATGAGGGGAGGTATGTAAGCCCTAAAACACCTGCACAGACGTTATTGGTTTGGCCTTATCCTGCTCCTGTTCTCTCTGGATCCAAGCAGAAAATCAGCATATGCACCCATGCGAAGATGCTCTGGATTTTCCGTGTAATTTTTTGTGGTGTCTGTGGAGCTCTTGCAACTGGGGGATCTTGGATGAATTCCTGAGCCACTGGCTAAAAACTGGGGACTTACAAGTACCCCAAAGGTCCTCCTTTGGCCTCCTCTTTGTCTGTTTGGACATGTGTCTACGGAGCTCCTGCTGGTCCAAGGCTCTGTGCTCGGACTGGGTGTCCTGAGAGCCAGTGCAGCAAATGGAGCCGACACGGCCCTGCCCCCCCAGCTCCCCTCGAGACAGTCACAAGCATCCAAGATAATTTTCGAGACTGGTAAGTGCTGTAAGAAAAATGTCATAAGATCATGTGTTAGAACGTGCTTTGAGAAGGAGAGGGAGTGGGGACGTCAGGGAAGTTCGGGGTTGAGACCTGAAGGTCAAGAAAGAGCCAGTTACAGGAGAAAAAGGGGCAGGTTCCGCAGCCAGAGCAGCAGACACTGAGGTCCTGCCGTGGGGCTGAGCCTGGGTGCGTGAGGGGCAGCGGGGCTCCGGGGCAGGGGGGTCCCTGCTCCCGGGGCCGGGAGCATGTGAGACCTGTAGGCTTTGGCAAGGAGTTTATTTGTATTCTCTAAGCCTCTGTTGTCCAATGCCAGAGCTAGTAGTCACCTGTGGTTATTAAAATTAAAACTGAAACACAGTTAAAAGCTTGATTCCACAGTAGAAATTAGAACCCTTGTGTCTTCTTGGTGAGAAAGTCCAATGGTACAGATGCTGTGGAAGACAGCACATTGGTTCCTCAAAAAACTAAAAATAGAAGTACCCTCTGATTCAACAATTTAGCTTCTGGGTATATACTTAAAAAAGTTGAAAATATCGTCTCAAAGAGATGGTCGATCAGCCATGATCGCAGGCATGTTAATCACAATAGGCAAAAGGTGGAAGCAATCCAAGTGTCCACTGACGGATGGATGGATAAACAGAACGTGGTGTATACATGCGATGAAATAGTACTCAGCCTTCAAAAAGAGGGACCTGCTGACACTGGTTATAGCGTGGAGGGGCCTTGAGAACGTGACGCTCAGTGAAATAAGCCAGACGCAAAAGGACAGATATTGTGTGATTCCACTCACAGGAGGTCCCTTGAGGAGTTAAATCCACAGAGACAGGAAGTAGACGGTGGGGCAGGGGCTGGGGGAGGGGGTGGGGAGTCCGTGTTTCATGGGGACAGAGTTTCAGTTTGAGAAGATGAGAAAGTTCTAGAGATGGATGGATGCACAGCAATGTGAATATACTTCATGCCAGTGGACTGTACACTTGAAAACGGTTAAAATGGTCAATTTTATGCTGTGCATATTTTGCCACAATTAAAAAAATACTTGGTTCCGCGTTGCACTAACCACATACAACAGCCACGGGGCAGAGATGGCTACCGTGTTGCACAGCGCCAAGCCAGACCATTTCCGTCATCACAGAAAGTTCCATCAGACAGTGCTTGCTCCACATATGGGAATGTGGCTTCTGAAGCCACTTCGGTTCCCTGGGTCCGGTGGGTGGGGTCCACTTGGGCTGTGATGTTCCCTGCAACAATCAAAGGGCCTGAGGATTTGGGGTGAATCACACTCCCCAGCTTCCAAACCATGTTTCAAGCTGTCTAGGCAGTGAGCCAAGAAGGCACCCTGAAAAAAGACTCTACCGTGGCCCAGGTCTTCAGCCTCAGGGAAGCCGTCTGTCCATGGACAAGTCTGCGGGCAGTCTGGGAAGGGAGGGCTGGTCCTTGAGGTCCAGGCCAGATGCTGAGGGACCAAAGTCAAGGGTAAGCAGGAAGGGATGAGTAGTGAGACGTCGGGAGAGAGGGGATGTGCCACACACCTCTGGAGAAAGCCAGCGCGGAGTCCAGCCTTCAGTGGACAAGCGCAGTCGCATCACACAAGATACACTTCTGCCACGAAATCCATGCCCCCTCCTTCTTTCCTATTCATGAGCTCCTTCAGGTCACAGCAGAATGGCTACCCCCTCTTACCTTCAGCACTTGCAGTGTATACAGGTAAACTTTAAAGTAACTAAAATGCCTCCTCCCTTAGACCATGTGGTCTGGAGGGCAGGGTCTTCGAACACTGTTCCCACAGTGCCTGCAAAATCTAGATCAGATCAGTGCAAGCAAACGTCTGTTGAAGCAGTAAATGACCTTTGGGCCATTTGTCTAACCAGCTTGTGCCTTGGTTTCCCCATTTGTAAAGCGGAGAAAACGGAGATGGTAACTTCTCTGTTTATGCCGGTCCTGCAGCTGCATGTTAGAGCCAACTGGGTAATTTTCAGGAAACTTGCAGACTATTTCTTAAACCAGCTGTTGTTAAAATTTAACTGATAGGAACTTACAACTAAATGATGTTCAAAGCAAAGGTAATAAATAGTCAAAATTCACCACTTCCTAATCATCTCGCTGCATTTTTCTTCTTTTTTCCCCCCATTATTTATGCCTTTGAGGTCGTTTGCTACTATTGTAGCCCTGCGTTGGGGACTATTTAATACTGCGCTGCTATGTATCTCCTACTGGCTCCACATCCAGGAGCTGTAGGTGGGTGGCTTGACAGGGACCGTGGGGGGCAGTATTTACAGCATGGAAATTAGCAAATGCTATAAAGCAGAGCCTCTCTGCCCTCCCCCCCGCCCCATCCCCTCCCTCTCCCCCTCCCTGAAGAGGCTGTTAAACATTTACGAGCCCATCACTGGTTTGGGGGCTGAAGTGAGTGAATAGCTGTGCCTGGCGGGTAGCAAATGCTGTAGAAGCGAGCTGTTACTGTTACTGCTTTCTTGGCTTGCTCTCCCTCATCCAGGACTGCTGCCGTGCAGACAGGATTTGGGCAAAGCCGTTGACCAGCTGTCTTCTTTTTCTCTCCAGTTTGTCCGACCATCTGCAAGTCGCACGGCTGCACCGCGGAGGGCCTCTGCTGCCACAGCGAGTGCTTGGGTAACTGCTCCGAGCCCGACGACCCCGCCAAGTGCGTGGCCTGCCGCAACTTCTACCTGGACGGCCGCTGCGTGGAGACCTGCCCGCCCCCCTACTACCACTTCCAAGACTGGCGCTGCGTGAACTTCAGCTTCTGCCAGGATCTGCACAACAAATGCAAGAACTCTCGGAGGCAGGGCTGCCACCAGTACGTCATTCACAACAACAAGTGCATCCCCGAGTGTCCCTCTGGGTACACGATGAATTCCAGCAAGTGAGTCCTGGGTGTGGGTTCTGGGCGGGCAGCAAAGAGGGAAGAAAAGCTTGGAGTTGGAATTGGAGTTGGTTGTGCCGCCTGTTAAAACTGTGAAAACCTAGAGTTCATCGGCCGTGAGCGAGGGAGCCACTGATGGCGAGGGATCTGCTCGAGCCTCTTAGACACCATGTATGCCTCCTGGTTGGTTTTTTGTTTGCTTATTTGTTTTGCTTTATTTATTTTTTGCGGGGAATAAATTAGCTTCATTTATTTATTTAACGGACGTACTGGGAATTGAACCCAGGACCTCATGCATGCTAAGCATGTGCTCTACCAACTGAGCTAGACCCTCCCCCTGTGCCTCCTGTTTTTGTGCTAGCCTTTGGAGCAGGACTCTACCAACGTTTTCTTGCAAGGGGCCAGAGAGTAAATATTTTTGGCGTCTTGTGTACCTATTTAAAGTTTTTTGTTTTAAATTGAAGTTTAGTTGATTTATAATGTGTTAATTTCTAGTGGTACAGCATAAGGATTCAGTTCTATATATATATATATTCTTTTCATAATCCTTTTCATATTCTTTTTCCTTAGAGGTTATTACAAGATACTGAATATAATTCCCTGTGCTGTACAGTAGGACCTTGTTGTTTATCTACTTTATATATAGTAGTTTGTATCTGCTAATCCCAAACTCCGGCTTTATCCCTGCGCTCTTCTGTCCCATTTGGTAACCATAAATTTATTTTCTATGTTCATGAGTCTGTTTCTGTTTTGCAAATAAGTTCATTTGTATCTCTTTTTTTAGATTCCACATGTAAGTGATAATGATATTTGTCTTTCTCTGACTTACTTTTCTTAGTATGATCATCTCAAGATCCACCCATGTTGCTGTAAATGGCATTATTTCATTCTTTTTCATGGCTGAGTAGTATTCCATGGTATATATCTCCCACATCATCTGTATCCAGTCATCTGCTGCATACTATTTTTAAAGCTCTCTGTGCTTAACACTGGGACTAGAACTCCTTGGCTTCATATATAGTCCTTTACACAGACGGGCATGTCCCCACTCGTGTAGCTGCCTGACTCTCACAGCAAGATCAGAGCTCAGATTTTTTAAAATGTTTTCTCTAAGCTGGAGCTGGATGGTGTGCGGAGGTTAGCCTGGAGTACGAGCAGGAACAGACTCACTTCTAGATTATTCTCAAGGCTTTATCGTATTTTGAAGGACAGTACCGTCAAACCATTTCCTACTATTTGGGTAAGAAATAGCAGGGTTTTCTCTCCCCTGGGGGTGAGTCAGATTTCCTACGCATATCTGAGACTTTTTGTTCAGGCTGTTAGCTTCTCAGATGAGCTATTTCGGTGTCTTGGGGCTGTAACCAAGTTTAAAAAATCTGTTTCCTGGTTTTTGTGCTGAGGGTTTGAAAAACACCCCCCCGACACACACACATACAACACAAAAACAAATCAGAAACAGACGCACGTTGAGGGGCCTTGAGCTGACCTGCTTACGTAAAAAATCTTCCTCTTCAGACTTGAAAATTAGCCAAATGAGAGTGTTCTGGTGGGAAATTTTATTTCCCTGGGTGGGGAGGGTAGGAAGGAAAACAATATTTCGGTTCTTATGAGCCTCTTTGGAGTGTTTGTGAAACCTGCAAGTACAATATGTTTTGTTTTATACGTTTTTGATAAAACCTATCGAGTGGCTTTGTTGACCAAAAATAGGCTTCTATAAATCACCTGTGTGCCAGACAGAGCTGTTTTTTCTTTTTTGGGTCAGTTTATCAGTAAGGTTGGGAAAATGACCATATTCCTTTTGATTTATTTCTGTTTTTTTCCCCATTGAAATAAAGCATGGGTATTAACATCCGGCGAGATGTTTGTCTAAAAGACATTGGCTTTAAATGAACGTTGTTCTATTTTTTTTTTTTTTCTGATCATCACTAAGACCTGAAAAATAAAGCGACCTCCTTTGATGCTCTTGCTGATGGCAGGGGCCCCGGGATTGAAGCCCCAGGAAACTGACAGCTCATCCTGTAATGCTTCGGACCTTTACTGAGTGAATGAGGGGAAAGTGAGGGATATTAATTATGAGCCATCATGGCAATATTTTCCTTTGTAGGTTAAAAAAAATTCTTTTTCTCCTTTGGAAGCTTTTTGTGTGTGTGTGAAAGACTTTAGTACTGTCGTGTTTTCTAATGTGGTTTGATATCAAATAGGGCCAGATATGTTTTCCTCCATTCTTGTGGCTTATCTGGGAAATAGTTCTTGGTGTTTTTAGACCAGAGGTCTGGGAAACCACGTGGGTTCATGAAGAGACCTTGCCAACTATGGTCGCTCTGAGGTTCCTGGTGGGGCGCTCTGTAGTGAGATGAGGACGACTTGATATTTGGGGTGCATGTTAAGTATGCGGTAGGTGTGGGGCATCCCTGTTCCCTCTCCCTAGAATGCTCTGTCCCTTGATCTTTGCATGGCTTCTTCTTGTCATCCAGGTCACAGCTTTAAAAAGTCACTTTGTTTGAGAATCCTTCCTTGTGTGACCACACTGTCTGTATTAGCCATCCAACTACTCTTTGCCATACCACTCCACTTTAACTCTTTTCATGGCATCTACCACTAGCTGATCTTTTAATTGTCAATTTATTAATTTTCTCCAACTAGACCACACACTTCTCAAGTGTATCAGCTTGCTCTTGCTGTGTAACAAACCACATCAATGCTTGGTGACTTAAGATGATGCTCACTTATGATTTCTAATGACTTTATGGGTTGACTGGCAGTTTGTCTGGCTTGGGGTGGATCAGCTCTGATTAGCTAGTACAGGCTAGCCTCTCATAGCCTGGATGGGCAGCTGGGGCCTCTCTCCATGTGTAGCCCGGAAGGGCATGCATGCTTCAAGGTGCAAGTCCTTTTTAAGCCTCTGCTGTATCACATTTGCTCATGTACCATTGGCCAAAGCAATTCATGTGGCCAAGTCCAAGTTCAGTGGATGAGGAAGCGGACTCCACCTGTCAGTGGGAAGGGCTGAAAAGAAGCCGTTTCCCACAGGGAAAGCAGGTTGTTTGTCCACTCCTGTGTGCCTGCAGTTTAGAATGGGCACTGGCAAAGGGCCGGATAGTAAATATTTCCAGCTCCGAGGGCCATATGGTCTCTGTTGCAGCTCCTCTACTCTGGCTGAATAGCATGAGAGCAGCCATAGATGATACACAAACCAGGGGGTGTGGCTGTGTTCCAATATAATGCTGTTTAGAACAACAGGTGGCCAGCTGGCGGTGGCCCGCGGGCCATAGTTTGCTTATCCCTGGCTTAGAGTGTCACCTATCCCATGATAAGGGCTCAGGGAATATTTGCAGAACCAACAAAAGAACCCAAACATTTGGTCAGTCTTCCGCTTCCACCCCAGCTGTTCTGACACCAGCTGGGTGTACTACAGTAGACTTCGACATCGGCCACCTGGAGTGAGCGTCAGCGCCACGAGGGAAAGGCCTGGTCCTCCACCAGGCTGGCTTTATGTCAGATACCAGCCACGCTTTGTTGGGGGGGGGCGGTTCCCAGGCCACCCACACTTCTGATCAGCTGGCTACAACTTTGGGGGCTCCCACAAACCCTCTGGGTTCAGTAACTTGTTAGAACAACACTCAGAGCTTAAAAGGGGTGGGGGGGCTATACTTTCTGTTGGTCCTGAGCACAGAGAAACACCTCTGGGTCTGCTTCTGTTAGAGTCCAAGGGTGGAATGTCGAGGGCTGTATGGGTTCACTTGATGGTCAATTTAAAGCTTAAGGGCAGGAGCTGGGCACAGGGAAGGAGAAGCTTGGTCATTATCTAGGTTCCCCAGGGTTTCTGAAGAAGGATGGGGGCAACCTCGTTCCTTATCTGGTTGTTTTGCTAGTGGCTGTGTCACAGAGCTGGCGAGACATTTATTCAAGACAGATGTCTTTTGAAATAAGACGGCCTCAGCAGTCAAAGAGAGGCATATGAGGCTCTCATACCTTTATTATTAAGGATGCTCGTAGGTGAGGGCTGAGAGAATTCCAGAGACAGGGCTTCCATGCCCTCGTGGGATCAGAAACGTCGCCCTTCCAGTACGTCAGTGTATTCACTGGCCAGAAAACTGAACTCGGCTGGTGTCCAGAGTTTTCACTGGGGTCTTACTACGTTGGTGTGATTGACTAAATCACTGGCCACAGGTTTGGACTCCATTCCCAGCCCCTCTTCTCTCTCTGGAGGTCAAGTATTTGGTCTTTCTGGTAACCAACCCCCATCCTGAAGTGAGTAGGGACCGCCACTCCTCATTAGCACAACAAAGATGCTCCTATTACTCAGGAAATTCCAAGGGCTCTTTGAAGCTCTGTGCCAGGACCCAGGACAAAGACCAGATGTGTTCTTTACTATACCAGCATCACAAAGCTAAGAATATGCAGGAGCGTGGACACAACAGTAGTGACAGTTCCAAGGTAAAAAGTGATGTCCTCGCAAGGGACTAATGGTGTTTGTTTTCTATGTGCCAAGTGCTTTAGGGGGTATGTGTTACCTCGACCTCATCACCCGCCTGTGAGGCAGGCTCTGTTATTGGCTCCATTTCACCGATGAGGCCACAGACCTGGAGGATGTAACAGCTGGGAATCTTGAGGTTTCATGCAACAAAAGCCCAACTCAAACTGGCTTAAGCAAGATTAAATGAGTCTATTGGTGACTGAAACCAAAACGTTCAGGGAATGGCTTCAGGTTCAGCTGTATCCAGGAGCTCAAGGGATGTATCTGATCAATTGCATTCCGCTCTTGGCTCTATTTCTCTCCCTGCTGGTTTTGTTCTCAGACAGCCTCTTCCTCACCCCTTGCCCCATGCTAGCAATATAGCAATACCCTCTTAAATACTCCAGAAGGAAGACAGTTGCTCCTTCCGGGAAGTTCCTGTCAAACCCCACATAGCACAGCCAATGTCCCATCATCCTGCAGGAGCAGCCTGAGTTCAGCTAGATGGGTGACGGCATCAGCTTTGCCACGTCCACATAGCGGCAAAGCTCTGTGTAGTTCCCATCACCATGATAACGCCACGAGTCCCGCTGGCTTTGTCGTAAAAGCATGAGTCCTTCGACTTCAGGGTAGGACTTGCCGGCACAGAGAGATGCCTGGGGCGGCTTGCCCCTCCTTCCCCAGGGGCTACGTTTGGTGACAGTTTTGGCTGTCGTGCCGTGGTGGGGGTGCTGCTGGCTTGGAGTGGATGGAGCCCAGGGATGCTACGTAACACCCTTAAATGCTCAGGACAGTCCCCCGCAGTGGAGACTTCTCCTGCCCCAAATATCAACAGTGCTATCGATGGTCAAAGCACCCTGCCTGAGGGTGACAGTGGAGGTCCCGTCACCTGGGACCGTGTGCAGCCTGCCGTGCGTGTGTGTGTGTGTGTTTCTGTGTACCCTGACCTCTCTCTCCCGACTCTTTCCGCAGCTTGATGTGCACTCCGTGCCTGGGCCCCTGTCCCAAGGTCTGCCACCTCCTGGAAGGCGAGAAGACCATCGACTCGGTGACGTCCGCCCAGGAGCTCCGAGGCTGCACCATTGTCAACGGGAGCTTAATCATCAACATTCGAGGGGGCAGTGAGTGCCCTGGGGGGGGGTGGCAGGGGCGCTGGCTGCGGGGACCCACTCTCCCTGAGAGCACAGAAAGCAAACAGCCCAGATGCCCCTCAGCGGAGGCGTGCAAGGAGTTCCAAGTCTGAAGTTCACAGCTCAGTCCTGCCCTCCCCCCCGAGATTCTGAATTTCCAAGCTGCATGTTGGGATGGCAGGAATTTATATTTTTAACAAGCAAGCAACATGCAGGTCTGGGGACTGTGTTTCCAGAAACTCTGTCACAGGCAGAAAGGCACTCCTTTGCTTGTTCATCCAGCTAACATATACTGAATACTCACCGTGAACGAGGCGAAGTCCGCACGTGGTGGGTCTTGCAAATAAACAAACGCACGTATAATGTAAACCCAGGTGGTGGTCCACGCTACGAAGGGCGCCAGAGTGGGCTGACGGAGGGGTGAGGGTCGGCCGCCTTTTCTTATGAAGGGACTATAACAGATACCTTCAGCTTTGTGGGCAGCACGGTCTTTGCTGTAACTGCTCACCTGTGCCTTGCAGGTGTGCTTCGAGCAGGGTGCGTCAGGGTCATCCTCAGCCTGTGGGTTAAGTCTTCACCACGGGCAATTACGGGAAGGTTAATGTATCTCAGCAGAAACCCATGGATATCCTCTCCTTTCCTTAGACAATCTGGCAGCTGAGCTGGAGGCCAACCTTGGACTCATTGAAGAAATTTCAGGGTACCTGAAAATCCGCCGGTCCTACGCCCTCGTGTCACTTTCCTTCTTCCGGAAGTTACGTCTGATTCGAGGAGAGACCTTGGAGATTGGGTACGTGAGCCTGACTTTGTGCCTGTGGCCCAGTCGCTCACCAGGAAGTTCATGAGTTAGAAAAAACTTAGGGGTTTCTGCCAAGACATGGAAACAACCTAAGTGTCCATTGATGGATGAATGGATGAAGAAGGTGTGGTCTATATATACACTGGAATATTATTTAGCCATAAAAAAGAAGGACATCTTGCTATTTGCAGTGCCATGGGCAGACCTTGAGGGCATGAGACTAAGTGAAACAAGTCAGACAGAACAGATTGGTGGCACCAGGGGCTGACGGGTGGGGGAAATGGTTGAAGGGGGTCCAGAGGTACAAACTTCCACTGGTGAGATGAGTAAGTTCTGGGGCTGGAATGTACAGCATGGTGACTGTAGTTAACAATACTGTGTTATATGTTTGAAAGTTGTTAAGAGAATAAATCTTAAAAGTTCTCATCACAAGAAACAATTTTTTAAAAACTATATGAGACAGTGGAGGTTAACTCAACTTATTAAGGTAATCATTTCACAATATATGTATATTGACAAATACAACGTTATATGTCAATAATATCTCAGTAAAATTGGAGGAAAAAGAAAACCCGAGTTTTTTTTTTAATGAGATAATCGACATATAACATTATATTAGTTTCAGGTGAACAGCTTCGTGATTCACTATTTTGTCTATATTGCAGGATGATCACCACAATAAGTCTAGTTCACATCCGTCACCACACATAGTCACATTTTTATTTTCCCTTGTGATGACAGCTTTTATGATCTACTCTCTCAGCAATTTTCAAATATGCAGTATGGTATTATTAACTATAGTCACTACACGTAACTTAGGGGGTTTTAAAACCAAAACAAACAGACAAACAAACAGAACATCCACTAGGAGAAAGTGTCTGGAGCAGTTCTGAGAGGAAGGAATGGGGGTAAGAACACGTCTAAAGATCCAGCCAAGGAAATGGTACCCATTTCATAGTCTCTCTTGGGGAGCCACCGGGGGTGCGGCCCAGACTTTGCGCCCTAGCTGCAAGGGAGGCTGGGAGAGCGGCTGTTTACCTCTTCCAGTCTGTGCAGTGGCGGAAAGCAAGGGAAGAGGGGCTGTGAACGGCTTTTGAGAAGCCAACCCACTGAACTATTCAGACTCCATTCTTGAATCACTGGCTCATGTTGATTCTTGAAGCTCAGACCTTTCATTTGGTTGTTCCCATGATCTCCTGGCCGGTCCTAGCACGAGACCTGTGCCATCCGACAGGAATATGATGCAAGTCACACATGAGACTGTGTCCTGGCAGCCACGTGGCAAAAACTTTAAAAGAAATAGGTGAAATGAACTCTAATAATGCATTTTACTCAACCCATTACATCTAAAATGTTATTTGGATGTGGACTCAATATAAAGAAAATATATAAAGAAGATCTTTTACATTCTGTTTTTGCATGCGAAGCCTTAGATCTGTGTTTTTCACTTCCAGTGCAGTTCAGAAGGGCTGCATTTCAGGTGCTCAGTAGCCAGGTGTGGCTTCTGTGTCTTCTGTCCCCCATGTGCTGGTGGCCCACTAATAGTTCTAAGGCACAGGTCTGATTGAGTTACTGAGTTGTTATAAAACCTTCAGTGGTCCCCTTCTGCCTGCCGAGGAAGGGCGTGTGTTCTGGATCTCGGTCTGGCGTGCAGCACCCTAGAGGGCTTGGCCCACTGCAGCTCTCCAGTTTTGCCTGTCACCTGTCGGCCGGAGCAGGCGCCTTTGCTCTCCCCTGGTCCCAGCTCGGATGCCTCTGTGTCTTTAATCTTTCCGCTTTGCAAAGCCCATGTCTCAATCCATCACAGTCGTACCCTCCTCCCCGACAAGACTTAGCTCAGACACTTTCCCGGCCACGAAGACCTCCCCAGCTTCCCCCGTACCCCCGCCTTCCATTCACCATGGGAGCGAGTAGGTGTCAGGCGCGTGGTCAGGACTGAGGACGCAGCCCTGAAGCGAGGTCAGCTCCAGCCGCGGCCCCGCCGACTGGAGTTGGAGACGCCAAGCTGGCTGACGAGGCGCGTCTGTGTGTCCCCGCAGGAACTACTCCTTCTACGCCTTGGACAACCAGAACCTAAGGCAGCTGTGGGACTGGAGCAAACACAACCTCAGCATCACGCAGGGGAAGCTGTTCTTCCACTATAACCCCAAGCTCTGCTTGTCGGAAATTCACAAGATGGAGGAAGTTTCAGGAACCAAGGGGCGCCAGGAGAGAAACGACATTGCCCTGAAGACCAATGGGGACCAGGCGTCCTGTAAGTGGTGATGCTGTGCTCTTTCCAGCGCATGGACTAGATGATGTGGCTGCCCCCACCCCCCACCACTCTGGTCCCCAGGGGAAGTGCACTTCCGCACAACGAACGAGTACAACTGTGTGTGTGACAGGCTCTCTGACACTGAGGACAGGTGCTGTACATCTTACCTCTTTGCCAAAAACCAAAACCCAGTGCCTGATACTGGAAGGTGCCACATAAGCATTGAATGAATGAATGAATGACACCTCCCTTAAATGTGGCCTTGGCTCAAATGTGACAGCACATTCTGCAGTTGCCACAGCCAGGCACCGTCAGCTGACTGTGGTCCTCTCATGCAGGATGCTCACAGGTTTTCTCCTGAGGGGGTATCTGGGGGCTGAAGTGCCAGGGCTTCCATGCTGAGTCAGTTCCCTATGGCAGAATGTGGTCCAAGGGAATTCGGGGGGCGGAGAGAGAGACAGCAATTAGGGTGGAACTCAAGAGAGGGCTTGCCTTCGGGCAGAGGGAACTACTCTCTCCGAGGCATCATCTTTCCAAAGAACTTTCTCTCCAAAGTATAATGACCTGCACACTCTCTAAACCCACTTGGCGTGTGTCCATCTGCCCTGCAGTTACGACTTCTCAAACGTCAGGCATGGAAGTCGCATATGCAAGACAAATCGTGTCAGGACAAACATTATTCCCAAAGCCCCCTTTCCCAGTAACTGCTGGCCCTTGGTCTTCATGCCGGCGCTGACCGCTGCTACTCCCCTGAGCCTCTGGCCAAGTGACTGTCTTGCAGCCGGGACCACCGTGCACGTCCCAGTCTTACCTCTGAACCCGGGGGAGGCACGTGGGGATGAGACCTGTCAAGGGAACATCAGACTGACAGCCTCCTTCTCACGGATGCTCTTGGAAGTATAGGGTCCCCAACTTCGGGCTGAAACAAATTATTTAATTCTGATACTGAGTCTTTTTTTTTTTTTAACCTTCCCAGGTGAAAACGAATTACTTAAATTCTCTTACATTCGGACATCTCATGACAAGATCTTGCTGAAATGGGAGCCCTATTGGCCCCCTGACTTCCGTGATCTCTTGGGGTTCATGCTTTTCTACAAAGAGGCGTAAGTAGAAGGTGAAAGAGGCGTGCTGGTTGCTTCTGGGCTCAGATGGCCCCGCCGGAGGCTCCTCTCTGTCGCCTTCGCACTCGGGGAGTAAATACCACAGGCTCCTCCGTCGGGTCTCACCGGCGGATGGGGTGTGCCACCAGGAACGCTGCCCTTTGCCCAGAGCCAGAACACTGAAGCGGACGGGTTTCTTTTGGAAGTCCAGATTGGGCAGTTTCCTATAGCGAGATTCCATTTAGTTTCTTAGATGCGCCTCTCACCAGACGCCTTCCACAAAAAGTTGCTCTGTCTGCTTAGCAGATTTTTTTTAAAGTTTATTTTTTTCAACATTCAAAAAAATCGGGGTGAAACATACGCAACGTAAAACTGAGCGTGTTAACTAGGCTTAAGGGTAGAGCTCGCGGCGTTAAGTACGTCCACGGTGTTGAGCGGCCATCACGGCCGTCCACCTCCAGAATTTATTCGTCACCCCACGCAGAAACTCTGCCCCCACTCAGTTACACCCCGTCGTTTTGAGTTTTGACTGTGCTGAAATTTTAAAGGAAGATAATGGAAGTGGTGAGAGTGTGAAGAGGAATGATTGTTCCATCTCTCAAGATTGACCAGGTGCCAGGCTGTGTGCCGAGAAGTCACACGAGTCCTCTGGTGTCATCTTACCTATAAGTCAGGCAGTTGGTATCACCATCGTCATTCTTCTTATTGGGAAACTGAGACACGAGGAAAGTGGTCCCTTTCTCTTTGGCCGTTCCTATGTGCTCTTCCCTCGTGGCACAAGACCGTTGGCGAACAGGAACGCACCCCTACACGATGTAACTTCCCTGGCCACGTCTCTTTGGTCTTCAGGGCTGTAATTGAGAAATGGTAACCGCCTTTTCCTGTTCTTGTCTTGAAAGCCCTTATCAGAACGTGACGGAGTTCGATGGACAGGATGCGTGTGGCTCCAACAGCTGGACGGTGGTGGACATTGACCCGCCGATGAGGTCCAATGACCCCAAGTCACAGAACCACCCCGGGTGGCTGATGCGGGGTCTCAAGCCCTGGACCCAGTACGCCATCTTTGTCAAGACCTTGGTCACCTTTTCTGACGAACGCCGCACGTACGGGGCCAAGAGTGACATCATCTATGTCCAGACAGATGCCACTAGTAAGCGTTTCTTGTGGATGTGAATCTGTGCATGAGTCACACGTTTCGCCTTTAACAGGCTGACACAGTGACGTCATCTAAAATGCTCTTTCGCGTGGTTATTGGCTTCTGAAAGAGCCGGGCACTGAGGTTTATAATTTCATAAGATGTGGCGGTGGCAATAAGACACCAGAGGGGAACATGTATTTCTTCTTCCCATTATGGAAAATTTTCAAGTATTTACAAAAGAAGAAAATGACACCCCTCCTCCCACGTAATAACCATCTCTCAGCTCCAACAATTCTCCATATATTGCCATTTTGGTTTCACCTCTGTGCCCCTCCCCCATCTCCAATTTTTGAGGTGGGGGTGGCGCACTGGAGGATTTTATAGCAATTCAGTTATATTTCCATCAAGCGTTAAGTCCTCTCCGGCCACTGTGATAGGAGGCATTTGGCGATGTCTGGAGACATTTTTGGTTGTCATGACTGCGGAGGTGGGGCTGCTGGCATCTAGTGAGTGGAGGCCAGGGATGCTGCTCAACACCCCACAATGCACAGGATGGCCCCCATGAGAATGACCTAGTCCTGCACATCAGTAGTGCCAGGGGTGAGAAATCCTGTCCCGTAGGATAGAGTCCAAACTTTATGCACCAGCCCCAGCTTTTTTGGTTACTGCCCTCTTATCCTGTACCCTCCAGCGACACCAAAGGATGAATAGTTTCCAGGAACTGCCAGCTCCCAGGCGTTTGGATACACTGTGTCCTCTGCTTTGAGACCACACCCCCGCCCTGGCCCCATCCCTCACTGACTCCTTCCACCACCCAAAGGTGGTGCATTTTAAGGGGATGTTAAATGGGCTGCCAGCTCAGGGACACGCTTGAGTGACATCTTAGTGCTGGAATTTGCCCTGTCATGACTGGGTTCCATTTGGGGCTAATCATAACCAGAAAATGTGAGTTTGTCTATTTCTACCATCCCCAGCACCTTGCCAGGGCCCAGAACAGAGAAAGCTTGGCATAGAGTTGGAGCGCGATGAATGTTGGTTGCATCAGTGGTTGAACACGAATGGCTATGTCATCTACAAAAGCTGTGGTTTGAATGGACTGAAATTTTGTAACCCATGCGCCCTCCTCCTCACCGTGGACCTGTTTCCTTTCCCCTGCGCAGATCCTTCCGTCCCGCTGGATCCCATCTCGGTTTCTAATTCCTCGTCCCAGATTATTCTGAAGTGGAAGCCTCCCTCTGACCCCAACGGCAACATCACACACTACCTGGTTTTCTGGGAGAGGCAGGCGGAAGACAGCGAGCTGTATGAATTGGATTATTGCCTCAAAGGTGAGTGCAGGCAGAGGCGCGGGAGGGGCTGGTTTTACACACTGGACCTGCTTTGTTCTCTCCCCTCCTCCCATTTCCCAGTGTGCGTACAAGTGCATGTGGGTGCACACATTCCCTTTGGTCTCCTGCGAAAACACACATACAGGCAGACCTCAGAGACATCGTGTGTTCCGTTCCAGACCCCTGCAATAAAGTGAGTCGTGTGATTTGTTTGTTTGTTTGTTTCCCAGTGCCTATAAAAATTATGTTTACACTATACTGAAGTGTATTAAATATGCAATAGCATTAGATATAAAAAAAGGGTACATACCTTAATTAAGAATACTTTATTGCTAAAAAAAAGAGTACTTTATTGCTAAAAAAATTGCCAAAACAATTACAATAGTAACATCAAAGATGACTGATCCCTGATCACCAAAGCAAATATAATCACAATGAAAAAGTTGGAAACATCGCCAGAATTGCCAGAACATAACGTGGAGACATGAAGGGAAAAAATGCAGTTGGAAAAATGGTGCCTATAGACTTGCTCAAGGCAGGGTTGCCACAGATCTCCGGTTTGTGGAAAAACGCCGTATCTGCGCAGCTCAGTAAGAGGAGTTCTGCACACATTTCTAAACATCACAGCCCGAGAACATGCTCTGAAGACTCGGGTTGGAATCAGACACTCCCTACGTCTTGGCACCACTTCCCTGTGGAACTTTCTCCCCCACCCCGTCCGCCTCCCCCAGTCGGGGTGTAGCTGTGTTAACCCAAGCAGGGCTCCCCTGCTAAGGTGCAGGCCCGCCGATGTGTGCGGCGGTGACAGACAAAGTCAGGGCGGAAGTCTGGCCCCGCATCGTAGACCCTTAAGCTTTAAGGATCGGAGACAGCAGAGAGTGATAACCGGTTCCCTCCTGTGCGTCCCATTAAACATGTACCCTCATTACAGGTTTTTTCCAGTCTTTAATCTTGTTTATTTAATGGGCTTCCATCCATCTACAGAAAAATGGAAAACTATTTGAAGCCCCAAATGAGTTTGTGTAAATTAGTTTATTTTAAAACTGGGTTTTTAAAAAGCCCATCAAATCGGAGAAACAGAAGTCATTTTTTTTTTCTCTTTAGTGGGTTTTGTTTGTATATATTTTCCTTTAGATTTTTTGAGTTAGCGGTATCCTCAGGCCTCGGGGCCGCGGGCAAGGTGTGGGTGAGGTCGGGAACCTGAGGTCTGCTCCTGGCTCGACGACCTTTGACCCGCTGCAGGGCTTCGGGCGGTCACCCGGCTTGCCATCGGCTGCCTCCTTTTGGGGAGAAGGGGCGGGAGGCCAGATGATCTCTGGGAGCGGTCCCAGCTGTCAGAGCATGTGCTATGTGTGTGCCTGTGACCTCATCTCCCGCCTGAGCAGAGGGTTGCAAACGTGATTTATCTCCTTGGATGCTTTATATAACTCGAGAGCAAGCAAAGTCATGGTCTCAGCTGTGAGCCGTTGGCCCTGCCTTCGAGTAACCGAAACCGCCACCAGCAGCCGGGCAGGCAAAGCATTTTTTTTTTTCAAGAGCAACAGCTTTCATTCTGGAAGTTGAAATCTATCATTACAACATGACTATTTCAACATGGCTTTATTCGTAATGATGCCAAAGTTTATGTCATTAAAAATAAACTTAGGTACCAAGGACAGATATTGTATTATATCAGGTCCCTAGAGGAGTCGCTTCCATGGAGACAGGAAGGAGCCGGCGGGGCCAGGGCTGGGGGAGGGGATGAGAGTTTCATGGGGACAGAGTTTCAGTTTGGGAAGATGAGAAAGTTCTGGAGGTAGAGGGTGGGGATGGCTGCCCGGTAACGTCAGTGTGCTCAATGCCACTGAATCGTACACTTAAAAATGATTAAGATGGTAAATTTGATGTGATGTGTATTTTGCCACGGCTAAAAAAAACCAAATACACACACAAAGAAATAACCTTCCTAACACACACGAGACAAATCACTTACTAACCGCGACCAGCAGTAGCTTCCTTTCGTATCACAAGTGATTTCCCCCCCCAACTTTATGGAGTTATGATTGACAGGTAAAATGGCAAGATGTTTAATGTGTAAACTGTGATGAGTTTTATACACATATGCATTGTGAAGGGATTCCTCCCGTCCAGTGAATTCATGTATCCACCACATCATGTATTTACCGTTTGCTTGTTTGTTGGTGAGAACTTCTAGGTTCCACTCCCTCAGCATATGCCAACTATACAATGGTCTTACCAACTCTGTGTTGGTTATTGTAAAGCACACATAACATAAAACTTACCACTTTAACCATTTTTAAAATTTATTGAGTCTTTTATTGTTGTTTTGGGGGAGGCAGGTAATTAGGTTTATTTATTTGTTTGTTTATTTAAAAAAATTTTTAATGGAGGTACTAGGGATTGAACCCAGGACCTCGCGCATGCTAAGCACACACTCCACCACTGAGCTACACCCTCCCCACTCCCTGTTTTAACCAGTTTTTAGTGCCCAGCTCGGTGACATTAAGCACATTCACATCGTTGTGCAACCATCCCCACCATCAACTCCAGAACTTTCTCATCTTCCCAAACTTAAACTCTGTCCCCAGTCACCACGGACTCCCCCTCCCCCTCCCGCGCCCCCCAGCGCTCACCTTTCTGCTTTGTCTCTATGGGTGTGACTGTCTTAGACGCTTCATTATATTTCATAGTCACAGGGAATCCGTAGGGGCCGCAAGCGTCGTGCAGTGGGTGCTGGGAAGAGTGACACGTGTCAGACGCTAGGCCTGTGCCTCCTCAAAAGACCCCTCCTCCCCAGAAAAAAATGTCAGGAGCCCCCTTTACTGAGGAAATTAAGGTTTTTTTCCCATCCAAAGTGCCATCAATAGCCCTTCTAACAGCTAAACCAGACGGGTTATTCCATGCCTATTAATAAACGTAAGAAGTATTTTTAAGTATTTCCAAAACTGTATAAATACTTGGGCTTCCGAGTGGGTACTCACCATTCTCAGGGAGCTACTTAGAGCTCACTGTCTGCCGGAGCCATTAAAGGAGAGAGGAAGGAATGGAATTCCCCTCGCTGAGTAGCCTCCCACCACTGAGGGCACTGTTTTTGCCCTTAAGGAGTAGCCTGCATCCTTGAGGCTGAACCAACCGCGTGGCTGTGCTCACTCAACAGGCGGCAAGCATTCCCCGGACCCGACCTCAGGGGTCAAGACATACCAGCTGTGGTCCTTAAAAAAGCAGTGTGGTATTTTTAAGAGCACTACCTTGAGAAGTTGTTCTTTTTTTTTTTTTTCTCTCTTTCTTTTTAAAATTCCCTTTTCTGTGCCTCTTTGAAAAATTTCTTCCCCCAATTTTCTCTCATGTCCTGAGCCCACAGTTTCTCTGTCTCACCACTGTTGACATTTGGGGCAGGATAATTCTTTGTGGTGGAGGCTGTCCTGTGTAAGGTAGGATGCTGAATATTGCTGGCCGACACCCATCGGATGCCTTTCGTCCCCTTGTCTCCCCAGACAGCCCTGACAGCAAAAAATGTTCCCAGACCTTGCCCAGTGGTAGGGGGTGGGGTGTAGCGCAGAATCACTCCCCCCTCCTGCCCGCCCCCTGAGAACCACTGCCCTAATCTGACTTCTGTTTTCCTGAATGACTGTAGAGTCTTTCATTTGTGCTGCACAGTTTGACTGCTCAGTCTAACCACTGGGTCTGTAAGTCGGACCATGTGGAATTCTGCTCTGCCCTCTCCACGCTTTACGTGGTTGATTGATGATTGTGTCATTCATCCATTTAACTGTGACTTGGGCCCCCTATCCTTTTCTAATCCCATCCCTCAGCATTCTCTCCCTCATCCCCTTCTAGCTACACTGGGTCCTTGGTGTCTTCTGATATGCCAAGGCAACTCCTACCTCAGGGCCTTTGCACTTGCTCTTTGCTGTCTGAATTGCTTTACACCAAGGTATGTGCATGGCTCATTCTTGTACTTAATTGGAGACTGCTTAGTGGTCACTTTCTCTGAACTATTCCCCCAGCCACCCTGTGTCCTTTCACCGTGCCCTCTGACCCACAGCATATGTCTCTATTATATTTACTTTTTATTTTTGTATTCCTCCCCCGCTGCCCTGATGCAGCTCACCCATTAGAATGTAAGTTCCATGAAGGCAGGGACATGCCTGGTTTCCTTAAGCCTCTAGCCCTGTGGGGTTATGGTGTCTGACAGCTTCCTGCTGCACGTTGACAGGAACCTTCTCAGTTGACAGTGTCAGGACCCTCCAGTGAGTGATCTGATTTTTCCCAGTCGAACTTGGGAGAGCTCTGGCCCGGGTGCCCAGCCGCTGAGAAAGCCCCCTTCGCTCAGGGTAGGGGTGTGTGTCAGGCGGAGACCTGAACTCACCTGCCCTGCGCTCCTCTAGGGCTGAAGCTGCCGTCCCGGACCTGGTCTCCGCCGTTTGAGTCTGAGGGCTCCCAGAAGCACAATCAGACCGAGTACGAGGAGGCTGCCGGGGAGTGCTGCTCCTGCCCGAAGACTGACTCTCAGATCCTGAAGGAGCTGGAGGAATCCTCGTTCCGGAAGACGTTTGAGGATTACCTGCATAATGTGGTTTTCATCCCCAGGTCAGGGTTTGCCATTGGCTTGGGGTTGGGGAACCTTATTTAGGGACCAAGATGAAGTGGGGACACAGAGGGCGGGCAGAGTCCTTGCTGAGCCGCTTCCCGGGGCGAAGGACGAGATCTTGTGATTTCCGTAGGCTCCTGACCAGGAAGAGCACGTGACCATCAGAACAGGGGAAAAAGCTGAAAAGACTCCACACTTGCTTTCCGATGTCTCATGAACGCTTCAGCCCAGCCTCCGGCCTCAGTCTGAGTTCTGGAACCAACTCCATTAGATTACCGGTGGTTAATTATTATCTGATAGATTCTTATAGACAGTAATTATTAATCGACAGATTCAATTATTAGGTTAGATTACCGAGGAATGCCTGCCTGGCCCCGTGCTTGACTTGTTACTGTCTCAAGCACAGTGCATTCTCTTTTTAAAATCTGGTGACCTTCTCATCCTTCCAGAACTTTCCATGGCCTCTTCAAAACCCCAGAGGCTGCTCCTATTTAAATATTTCCCTTAGTGAGTGAAGGGGCTTGCATGCTGATGTACACCTGATCTATGGAGCGAGGGTTTGTGATAAAAATGACTCCCAGTTTTCCATACATCCTTGCCTTTCGTGCAGACACTTAGGTAGAAGGCTGTGTGGGTTTCAGGTTACCCCGCCCCTCTCGGTGCCCCAGTTGACCCACCTGTAAAGTGGAGAGCAGACGAGTCCCTGCTGTCAGGGTTATGAGTCTGCACGAGTCCTACAGGGATTCTCAGCCTCGGCACTCCTGGTATTTGGAGCCAGTTCATACTTTGTGGCGGGGACCATGCTGTGCGTTGCAGGATGTTGGGTAGCACCCCTGGCCTCTCCCCACGAGACGCCGGTAGCACCGTCTGCGTCAGATGGTTTCAAGAACCTTCCTAGTAACCCACTGAAGCAGCAGCCATCTCCCTGTTTTGGGTCTGAAACCTGTTTTTGTTTTTATTTTTATTATTTTTTTTAGCTGATGAGTGACTGCCCAGGTTTTCACAGTAAATGTGTGATGTGGACTCTGATCCGCCCCCTCCCTCTCCACCCTTGACCTCTTCCCTTTACAGACTTCACCAGACAGCTACCCAGAAAAGTCCGGTCCAATTGGCTGTTTCCAAAGTGGACTGAAACCCCCAGAGGTTTACACTGGGATAGAACAAGATTCTAGACTGGGTCTCTTCAGATACCTCCCTCTGCGCTTGGTAGATGCTTCCCCGGCACCATCAATACGTAACACTTCTCCTTTTCCCTCTTTCTTGCATTCTCATCCCTCATCCTGAGGCCAGAAGAGCACTGAGTGTCCCAGCCCGGGCGTTGAGGCGGTTACTGTTTCACACGTTAAAAAGCTGCCAGACTTAAGGAAGAGGCTGGGTCAGTGGTGGTGTTTAAAGGTAGTCGAGTCTGACATCCAGAGGCAACCCCAGATGGCCAGGTCTCTGGAAGGGGGGTGCGTTTTCTCTGACTGCCCCCACCCCTCCTTGCTGTGTTCTCTGCACCTGCTGGGAAGACGTGATTCAGGTGATGGGAAACAGTGGTCCGTAGGCAAGGGCAGGGCGCCCTTGGGCTGCTGGTACAGAATGTGGCTACCGGGCTGTCAGAAGCCGAGGTCTGTCTGAAGAACTTCTGTCTGTCCTCAAAGCAGTTGGTTTTGTTTTCACAGAAAATCCTCTTCAGGCCCTGGCGCGGAGGACACCAGGTACGCCTCACCTGTGGGACGTGCGCGCGGGGCGCGCGGGGCGGGAAGCATGTGGTGCGCCCTGGGGCCCGCAGGGGGCTTCTGTGGCTTGATGCATGCGACGCGCCGCTGCACCGAGGCCTGGCGCTGCACAAACTCGCCTTCACGTTAAACGCCTTCACCCGGAAATGGGACCTGGGCACGAATGTGGGGGTCGGGGGTGGGGAATCTTAACTAACACACTCTGAACCAAAACGCAGAACCCAGGGAGTACTTTCTGGGCACCTGCCAGATGCCACACGTGTCTCTCCATGCAGCCACTCACTAGACATTCATTTTATCAACGCCGAGCGTGTGTGCAGACCCGTCCCCGGGAGCCAGAGCCTCAGCCACGTGCGGCAGGGAGTGGGCAAGGCTGATCGGGAGCGGGACGGGTTTATGCCGCGTGACAAGTGCCGGATGACAGACGTGAGCCCCTAAATTCCGCTGAGGACAAGGGCGCTCCTCTTTGACTTGCGTCTTCAAGAATTAAGGAGGGCTGTCCTGGAGGAGAGGCCAGGCAGAGAGAACTGGGGGAGAGCCAAGTCGGTGGGCCCAGTCCGGGACTCCTAGGGGGAAAAACAGGCAGGGGGACCGGAAAGGCAGGCTGGGGCCAGGCGGCCGGATTCTACTCTTACAGCGGAGGGTTTATTTAGTCACTTTCAGCCCTGCCTGCGGCCCCGATCTGCCCTCTAGTGGCCGTTTGGAATATAATCTGTAGGAAAGAAAGGTCTAGAAATTTGAGGCGTTGATCCAGACAAGGGTTTCTCAACTCGGACCTCTTGACATTCGGGGCGAGATGTCCCCTCGGTGGTGGGACCAGAGGGCAGAATCACTCCTGGGGTGACTGTCGGGTAAGAAAAAGCTGTGTAGGTAGCCAGTGGGAAAATCAGTTGATGCTGTCCCGTGGGTGGCGGCGGGGTCTTTCGTGACCACGTGGTGGTCTTTTTGGATATAAACCTCTTGGCATATGCATATTTGGCCTATTTGCGGAGAGCACGGATGTTTCCACTTGTTGAGATACCAGTTTCTCATTAGTTACTCAGGAAGTACCAGCCTCAGTCAATTTTGGAAGGCCCATCTGTGCTTGTTTGGAAATGTTCTGAGTCTTGCTAATATGGGTATATCTTTGGTTTCACAGCTTTGGTTTCCAGTCCATTGGTCTTTTCATATAAAAAGACCACAAAGAAAATCTTAGTGTGGACCCTCCTGCCAAAGTAGGGTTTGATTTCTGACCACAGAGCAATGAAAACGAAAAGTAAACTTCAAAATTTGAATTGAAAGTTCTCCTTCCTGGTAATTAGCAGTGGATCACTTAGACATCTATTGGGTGAAAGTAAAAATGGAAACTTTCGTTAAAGTTTGGAAAATAATGGAAATGTGAATCTCACATACTTTCACTTGTAAGCATATTGCCGAAGCTGGACTTTGATGCAAATTAGTAGGCTTGAATGGTTTCATAAATTAAGAAAAAACTTCAAAATGTAAAGTGTAATGTGTCAGGGAGGGAGTGGAAAATCGATATAGCAAAACTTGTGGTAAATATAATCAAAGGGAAATGTGCACAATAACTAGAAGTAAAGGAGGTGACATAAAATTAAGGTCTGGGGGAGATTTTAATATGTTGAATTCTCTGGATAACCATGAGCCATTCAATTTGAAATGTCCAGAGAGGTGAGAAATTTTGACTTGTCTAAGCGAATTCAAGAAGAAGCAGAATGATTAAATATCCTAATAACCTTAGGAAAAGACTTAAAAAAAAGTGTCAATTAACCCCCGCCCCCGCAGAAAGGCCCCAGGCTCAAAGAGTTGTACATTCTTCCACACTCTCTAAGAGCAACTCTTTTCTGTAATATAGAAACTTCCAGAGCATAGAAATCTATGAAACTCTTCCCAGTTTTATAAAACTGACACAGCACCCCTTAGCAGAACCTGACAAAGATGCTACATTGGAAGAAAACCCCAGGACCAGCTAATGTGGGACTTTAAATCCAAATGTCCTAAGTAAAACTCTGTGCTGGCAACATTGTTTATCTCAGAAGTGCAAGGATGGTTCAAGATCAGGAGTTCTGATGATATAATGTAATTCATCAAGAGGCCCAGCAAGGAAAATCATAATCACCTCATTCAATAACATTGATTAAAAATTCCTCAGCTAGAGAAAGGGGAGTGAGTGGCAAAGAGGCCTTTTATAAAACTAGGAAGAGAGAACTTCTGCAGCAAGATAAACACTACCTAAATGAGACCAACAGCCAAGCTGATGTCTTTCTTAAAACTATTTCTGTTGGAGTCGGAAGGAAAAGCCAATCTTATCATCACTAATTAACACTTCTCTTTCATTTAGCCAGTGCAGTAAAGATGTAAAGTAGAATTGTAAAGAATGGATTGTGGGAAATAAAATAAGTGATATTTGCAAATGCTGTAGCGGGAAGGTAGGCAGACCGCGGCTGCCGGTTTTTCTGAAGGAAGTTTTAGTGGACTGTGGCCACACCCGTCTGTTGACATCGTGTCTGTGGCTGCTCGATCTGCAATGGCTTGAAAGCCATTGGAAGTTGAGTAGTTGTGACAAAAACCACATATCCCACAAACCCCCAAATATTTACTACCTAGCACTTACGGGGAAAGGTTGCTGACCCTTTTTCTAGCGTGTTCCTTGAAAACCCAAGAAAATCAATCATAAAAACTCTTAGAAGGAGAGTCTGGATAAGTAGGTACAGTGTAAATAAGCCAGTAGATACACTAGCAATAATTATAATATCAATCAGGGGGAAACATCCCTTTTTATAATTGCCCTAAAACCTTAGTAACCCCATCTAGAATTACCTGGGGAGAAAAATCAATTCTAAATTGCTGAGATACAAACTTTTACAGATAAATGAGAAAGATTGTTTCAGATCATTTCAAGAAAACTCACTGGCACACAGCAAATCAGGGTAGATCGATAAAAGGTTGATGTCCTTTGCTGAGGGATCATTGCAGGAACAGGAAGGCGGAAGGTCCTAGAACTTCATGGAAAAACAGAGGACCAGGGCGGGCTATTCCTTAGAGAAACACAAAAGAATCAATAAAGGAAAAAAAGAGTTTACACTCAGCAGTACAGAGAGGAGCCAATAAAGCAGCAGAGTGGTGCTTCCAAAAAAAAAAAAAAACGTCAGGTTGCAAATCTGAAAAAGGGAAAAAAGAAACAAAACAAAAACTCCTGTTAACCTTCAGCACGGCTGAGATTAGCCCGGGGCGCGGTTTCCTGGGCTGCCGCTGAGACTGCAGGTCCCTGCGAAGCGTCTGGAGGGCACCTGCGGGCCAGGAGGCACAATCAACTCATTTCTCTTCTTAGAATCGACTTCAGGGACTAATAAGACAATTGGACAGTGATCAAAGCAATATTTATAAGAGAAAGAAAAAATTAGGGCTACGCTTATATTGAAAAAGGAAGAGGATGACTAAGTAAGCTTGTGGCTCATGCATTAAATGGAATATTCTACCGTTTTCCAAGTTTTCTGCAACACACCTGCGGTACTTTCCTAACAAAGAGGGGAAACCCTCACACTGAAAAAAAAAACAAACAAAGCATAAATTCTGTCCTACTTAAGACATTAGGTTTTAAGGAATCTATTTCAGAAAGCTTCCAATACAGCAAGTGAGCAAAGTGGATTATAAAACTGGCTTGGTCCCCATTACACTCATACAGAATATTTATAGAAAAAGTAACACTAGGACACAGTGGGCCATGGAATAATGAGTAATTTACATTTTATTTAGACCTTTTTTTGTATTTATTATTTTTTAGGCTATCACATTTTTCTTCATATATCTATGTAAGGGGGGCAGAATAGGCCAATGGCATAAGCGGGTTTTGTTTCAGTTACCCCTAGCAACCTGTGTGATACGAGTCTTTTACCAAGAATTGAGGTTTAATCACTCAAGTTAGGCAGATGTCCCGAGTGGTCATAAGGGTCAGTAGGTGCACTTCTCCTGTTTAAACTGGTGATGGCAATAGCTGGGACCGTTCGGCAGGGCGTCCTGAAATGCCAGGCTCTTGCACGCTTTTGGCATTTTGTTTTTAACACTGACCCTGGGTGGACTATTAACCTGCAAAGTGAAAATCTGAAATCAAGCATGTGGAGGGGACTACTGGGATGTCTATGATGGATGGTCCTGGGTACCCTCTCCCCCCATCTTGGGATGAACCTCCCTGTCCTTCTCTGAAAGCTGCTCTGGGTTGTAATTCCTGGAAATCTGCATTTTAATCTATGGGCCCCTTTGAATATTGCTGCACCACGGTCCTTGGTTTTAAGCCTTTATTCCCCAGCAGCATGTAGAGATGGTGACTGAGGGACCACGTGTGTCCTACTGTTGTGACAGGCCGTCGCGGAGACGCAGGGCCCTGGCTGACATGGGGAATGGCACAGCGGCCGTGCCCACGCTCCCGGGGTTCCCCAACGCCTCCTCCACCAGCACACCCACCAGCTCGGAGGAGCACAGACCCTTCGAGAAAGTGGTGAGCAAAGAGTCACTGGTCATCTCGGGGCTGCGTCACTTTACCGGCTACCGCATCGAGCTGCAGGCTTGCAACCAAGATGCCCCCGAGGAGAGGTGCAGCGTGGCCGCCTACGTCAGCGCCAGGACCATGCCCGAAGGTGGGTTGGCTCATCGGGGGGCCAAAAGCAGCCCTCCACCCTCTCGTCAGCAGACATGCGACTTTAACCCATTTGCCTTAATCATTTAAAATTTCCCCCAGCTTTATCGAGATACAGTGGACATATTCCATTGCATAAGTTTAAGATGTACCGTGTGTCAGTTGGATACACTGACATATCGCAACATGATGACCGTGGTAGCTTTAGCTCACAGCTCTGTCACATCACATAATTATCATTTCTCTTTTGTGGTGAGAACATTTCAGTTCTCTCTTGGCAGCATTTACGTACACAGTACAGTATTATTAACTCCAAACACCATGCTGTACATCAGATCCTCAGAACTTACTCATAATACGAGTGGAATTTTGTCCCCTTTGACCAGCATCGCCCGGTTTCCCGCCCCACCTCCTCGCCTCACCCCGCCCGGCAACCACCATTCCATTCTCTGTTTCTACGAGTTCAGCCTTTTCAGACTCCACGTATAAGTGAGGTGGTACAGCATTTGTCTTTCTCTGGCTGATTTCACTTGACATAATGCCCTGAAGGTGCAAACATGTTTGCTTTTATTAGTTTTTAATGACATGAGTCCTGCATAGCCATTACATAAACTTCAGAAGTACACACAAATCATGAGAAAAATAAAGCGCAATTAAGAAATACACATGTGTAGTGTATTAGGGTTCTCCAGAGAAAATGAACCAACTGGATGTGAGACAGACAGACAGACATAGAGATGCAGGTAATCCCGTGGGGTGAGTTTTATGTCTGTTTCCCGACAAGGGGAATGGAACACGGGACAGTCGCGTGACCCGCTCGAGGCGGCTCAGCTGGTTGGTGGAGGTGGGATTTAAGCTGGGGCGCGGGTCTCAACCTCTAACCATCGCTCCCCGCAGCCAAGGCCGATGATATTGTAGGCCCCGTGACCCACGAAATCTTCGAGAACAACGTCGTCCACCTGATGTGGCAGGAGCCCAAGGAACCCAACGGCCTGATCGTGCTCTATGAAGTGAGTTACCGCCGGTACGGCGATGAGGTAAGGCCCTGGTGCTTGGCCGTGTGCCTTCAGGGCGGATCGGCACCTCCTCCCTCTTCCTAAATTCTGGTCCTCATGCTCCTCTCACTAGATGCTCTGTCGTTAGGACTCAAAGCCCCGACTTTCCAGGGAGATGGGTCAGAAATGCCAACCTACAAATCTGATTTCCTGCCTCAGTTTCTCACGTTGAATTCTAGCCCTCCTCCGCACGCTGACTGACGGCTGTCTGCATGTGCGGCCCTTCCGACCTGACAGGAGACTCATTTCACTTAAGAGACAGCCGTCTGAGTCTGGAATGAGTCACTGAAAACGATAAAGGGCTTTTTGTTGGATGCCTCTCTTTACTCCCAGACACAAGGTGTCTGCAAGGTGATGGGCCAACGCAGAGGTGCACAAGGTGCGGCCTCTAAGGAGAAGCTAAGGTGTCCTGCCGGCTCACTGCGTGCCCTGCCCGAGCGCGTTAAGCGCTTTACATGCAGCATCTCATTTTCCCTATTTTACCACATGTGAGACGTTGACAGGAGGCCCCGTTACCCCTCTGGACCGCTAAGAAAGGAAAAGCTGCTGCCAGTTGTAATCGTAAGGTGGCGTTGCCAACTGTAAGATGCGCTCCAATTGCAGAAATGTCAAGCACTCCCGGGGCTTGGACCTGATAGAGGACAGCTCCCCCCTTTACTGGGTGACTTCAGGTAGATAAGTCAGGTCACCTCCCTGGGCCTGACCCAGAGGCAACACCTGGCCCTCAGTTGAGCCGTTTGCAATGATCCATTTACACCTCACAATGACCCCAGGAAATGAAACCTGCCAGTGTCTCCATTTATGGCTGAGAGGATGGAAAGTCGGGGAGCTGAATGGACTTGCTCAGGGTCACACACACTCAGCCCTCAAACCCAGACCTTTGGGCTCTGGCGCCTGCCGTCTGCAATGAGGGCGATCATGTGGGTCAGAGGTCATTTCCTATAAAGGGCCAAAGAGCCAGTATTTTCAGCCTGGGGAGCCACACGGTCTCTGGATCAACTGGTCAGCTCCGAAGCAGACACAAGACAGTACGGAGAATGAACAGGAGTGGCTGTGCCGATAGAACTTTATTTACAAAAGCAAGCAGTGGGCTGGATTTAGCCTGCGGGTCATAGTTTGCCAACCCCTAACAGAGGTTGTAACAAAACTGCCTGATTTCCTGGACGTCAGGGGAGAGTCATTCTGTAACCAGGTGGGCTCAGCATGGCTTCCCCTAGTCAGAGAGGGCGGCTGAACTCCCTCTGTTTTCCCTCCTCGACCACGTCTGCTGTTGATGTGCAAATACTCAGCTCTGATGATGATTTAGAACTGAAACCAGCAAACGGTGACCCCTCGGCTAGTTTTTGTATGTCCTGCAGAGAGTAATCCAGAGGAACAAGGAAGAATGTACATCCGCACGAGTCCAGGGGCCAAGCCCAGAATCAGGATGGCAGGGGAGCCCTCAGGGGTGCGTAACGGGAGGCATGATTCTTAGGGGGCCATGATCGCAGAGCTTATTAATACATTAGCCCCTATATACAAACCCCATATGTCCCAAGGAAATAATTCAAAGTTGGGGGTGGTGGCAAAGCTTTATGCATAAGATATCGCCACTAGCAAAAATCACAGGCCACTAGACGTCTACCCACTGGAGGATGGAAACGTAGAGGCGGTATAGCCCTGAAACTAGTGGATGTACGCCCTTCGGAAACCACGTCTGGGAAGCTCTTTGTCCAGTGTAATGTAGAGGCTGAGGTTACAGGCTCTGGACTTCAGATCCTCCAAGCCGTTCTCCTTCCTTTGGCACCAGCATCTAAGAACCACCCCCCAAACTAGCTTATGACCAAAGGGGAGCTGCTTAGCTCCCGTAATTGAGCAGCGGAAGGAGTTCAGGCGCAGCTGCCTTCCCTCACACCTCGCATTAGGACCCTCGCCCCTTCCCCTCCCTGCCCTGGGAGAGCCTGGTCCCAGAGACCACTCCCTCCCTGCAAAGAGCATCGATCGATTTTCAGTCTTTTCGTGTGTGCACTTATATCCTTCGCTTCAGTATGTTTTTGCAGGTTTGAGCTTTTTTATCTTGTTTGCACAGACTTTTCTGTAACTGGCTCCTTCACTCTTGATCAGATTTGCTTCTTGTTTTGCTGTTTTTTTCTCTGGGTTTTTTGGTGCCTATGGAGAGAGGTTCTGGCTTTTTCTGTTCCCGCCCCTTGAGGTGTCCGGGATACACGGGCAGCTTTGGAGGATGCATTTCCCCTTTATCCCGGATAGCAGCTACCTTTGGTTTCTATATTTGCTTCTTTGTCCCTTTCCACTTGGTGACTCATCCTACTTGGAAGAACCTTTGGACTGGAGTCCCCACCCCTGCCGCCAGCTCAGTCTGTTTTCTTGCTGTTATTGTCACATGATAAGCATGGGGAGTTTTACGTCTCTCTCCCTGCCCCCACGCCCCCCTGACATGTTCCAGGCCAGTTCTCTGCATGCACTATTAGCTTGGAGCTGTTTTGGAAATGTTTCATGATCAAGATGGGAGGGGAGCCCTCAGGGGCCGATGTGCGCAGGTTTCATGGTCCTGTTGCCCAGCGAGCCTCACGCCTCTTGTCATCAGCCCTGGGTTCCTGTTTTACATGTTTGCTGCTGGGCTGTAGCTGCTTACTTACCTCCTCTCTTCTTACCAGACATTTAGGTAGATCCTAACTCTTTCAACGATGGCAAAATAAATAAAATCAGATCGAAAGGTTGCACCAGGAGAAGGAAGGCGTTTTAACATTAAGCCTGTGTATCCATTTGGTTTTTAGGTGATTTAAGCAACGAAGGTCCCTTCTTTCCCCTGCTTCTGGAGACTTCATGGTGGCTTCAAGGAGAACTTTAGGAGCCAGAAAGTTCAAGGGCTGCCCTGCCACTCACCAGCCGTGAGGTCAGGGACAGACCATTCGGCTCCCCGGCCAGGGGAGGGCAAACTACTTATGGAAGCCTGTTTTTGTACAGCTCGTGAGCTGAGAATCACTTACACATCTTAAAATGGTTGGAAAAAAAAATCAAAGGCAGAACAGTATCTTGTGATACATGTAAATTTTGATGAGGGTCCGCTTTCAGCATCCACAGTGTCTCACTGGGCATCCAGTGCGCCTAGCTGTTTACAAATCATGGATTCAGGATTCCTCTCTGGCTGCTTCTGAGCCGGGATGGCAGGGTGGAGTTGGTGACAGGGATCCTGTGGCCCCTTGAAGCTGAAGATATTCACTATCTGGCCCTTTACAGCAAAAGTTCACCGACCCCTGCCCTGAGCCTCAGTTTCCTCGTCTCTAACCTGAGGCTAAGCACAAGGCTGTTGTCAGGATTAAATGCCTGGATGCGGCCACGTGCTTGGCTGTGGTTTGGGCAGATGGGCTGCTACCGTCATGACCTCTACATCTGTGCCTTATCCGTAGAGCCAAGGCTCGGGGACTCCTTGAGTTGCTTTCCTGTGACACTGGCTGTGCCTTTCTCCCTCCGTGCCACCGCTGAGAGGCGTCCTTGTGTTTCAGGAGCTGCACCTCTGCGTCTCTCGAAGGCATTTCGCCCTGGAGCGGGGCTGCAGGCTGCGCGGGCTGCCGCCCGGGAATTACAGCGTGCGAGTTCGGGCCACCTCCCTGGCGGGCAACGGCTCCTGGACAGAAGCCACTTATTTCTATGTGACAGATTATTGTAAGTCTGCGCGGCCGCTTCGACCGGTAGGGTCTGTGCTTGGCTCTGGGCACAGCAGAGCATTTCAGAGGATGGGTGGGGAAGCGTGGAGGCTGTGGGCACTGGCCCTGACTTGAGCCTTGGCTCCACCGGCTGCCGCTGTGTGACTGGGGCAAGGTCCTTGCCTTCTCTGAGCCTGCACTCCCTCATTTGGCTGTGGGTGTAATAATAGGACCACCTCTGGAGAAGAAGGGAGGTTTCCATGACGTGACTGTCAAGTGGCTGGCCCAGGGCACATCTGATAAACACACTCCCGTTCCTGGTGTCTGAACCTTTTTTTCAGATGGGCCGTGCCCTCCGAGGGAGGCTGTGGGAGCTCACCTCCTCAGCCTTGGGTGTGCTGTCAACATGCTGGCCATGAGTGCTGCTGTTGGACAAGCTGGACCCACCGCAGACAGCAGGGCGGGGAGAGGTGGGCAAGGCTGAGCCGGTCAGGGAGTGCCTCCCGGAGGTGGTGACATCTTGGTGGAAACCTGGAAGAATGTCTGAGTCGGGGCAAAAGAGCATGTTCAGCCCGACTCATGGTAGGAACTTGGATGAGTGAGCAAACACATGACTTGGAAGGAGGGAAGACTCTAGACCAGGAGGAACGGGGACTTGGGTGGGAGGGGGGGAGACGGAGCCTCTGCTTGGCTGGCGGAATTTTCAGGTTCTAGGCCTGGGGGGAGGGCGGAAAGTGGGAAGTGATTTCTTGCTGCCGTGGTTCTGGCCAAGGTCAGGGAGAGAGTGGGTGCTGTGACACCGGCCGGACACACTGTGCTGTGAGTCGGGTGCTGTCTGCCGGAGGTGGCGCAGACTCTGCAAGTTAAGGAGCCCAGTTCCCAACAAGACCGCCCTCCCGTCAGACGCCAGGTCCAAGTCTGGGGCCTCCAGGCCGCCAGCGCTTCCGACTGGCTACAAACTCGTGGGCTATCACGACCCCTTCAGATTTGGCCGTGTGCTAGAATGGCTCACAAGACCAAGGAAAACGCGGTTTCCAGTGACAGTTTTATTATAAGGGATGTAAGTCAGGACCTCCCAGCTGAAGAGCCCTGTAGGGTGGGAGCCAGGAGGGTCTGGGACCCAGCTCCCTTGTCCTCGTCCCACGGAATCAGGACACATCACGTCACCCTCCTGGCGCGGTGATGTTCGTCAGCCCGGAAGCTCCTCTGAACTTTGGTGAACAGAGTTTTTATTGGGGTTTCATTATACGGGTGTGACTGATCGGATCGTTGGCCACGTGACTGGATTCCACCTCCAGCCGCCTCCTCCGTGTGAAGGTCAGGCTGAAAGCCCCACGCCTCTAACGGCGTGCTTGGTCTTCCGGCGGTCAGCCCCCATCCCGGTGGTCAGCCCCCATCCCGGGCCCTCTCCTCTCTCGGCACAGATTCAGGTGTGTTCCCGGGGGCTCATCGGTAACAGAGACACTTCTAATACTCAGGGTATTTCAAGGATTTGGAGTCCCTGTCTTAAGAACCAGGGACACCATGAATAAAATTCAAAGGCACATGTCAAGGTGGGAAAAATATTTGTAATATCACTGACAAAGAGTTAACATCCTTAATATAAAATAACTATATATATGTATATATATGTATCTCGTATGAGTAAGAAAGATATGTCCTAACATAAAAATAAGCAAAGAATATAAATAACCGATTTAAGATGATTTGAAAAATAAGAAACACAAGCGAAAAATGTCCGGCCTCACTCAAAACCATAACAAGAGATAAAAAAGCAAATTAAAACAAGGTGTAATTTCTAACTTACCAAATTGGCAAGATTTCTGTTTGTTTCTGTCTTTTAATGACCTACGTAGTGTCGTCCGAGAGTGCCAGCGCATGGCCCTTCTTTGTCATGGTAGGTGACTGCTAAAATGTAGTACTTTAATAATACGTATCAAAAAAATCTCACGAAGGCTCTTACTGTTTCAGCCAGTGGTGCTGGGTTCTAGAAATTTATCCTAAGGAAATGATCGTAGATGTCCAAGAAAGATAAATGTTCAAGGAAATCCAGCACAGCTTACTAACAAGAGCAAAACATCTGGAGAATTAAATGTTCAACTCATTAGATTACTTAAAAGAAAAACTCTGTTAAATAACAGGGAAGCCAGCAAGACACCCGGGGTGCAGAATTTAGAGAGGCGCTCACCGTCATGGCCCAGAGCAAGGGTTCCTCTCAAATTCTGCACCCTGGGTGCCTCCCTTCCCTCAGTCTAGTTCTGGCAGCCCCTGGAACCTGGGGAGTAAGCGGGACAGCGGGGTTTGGGGAGGCAGAGATGGGGAGAAGGGGACGGCATGGCTCTCATATTCTGCCCTGAGATGTGCTGGGTCCTGAGCACTTGGTAGCTTCCAGCTTCCCCCCCTCCTAAGGGGCGGGGAGGAGGGACACCCCGTCGACAACTGCACATGACCAGATGGTTTCCATTTCTCAAGTCACATTCAATCATCAAATATTTACGGAGGCTTTCTGAATGCCAGGAGCCACCGGAGATGGGAGGAGGCAGTTGGCTGTCAATACAGGGAGGTCCGGGAGGACGAGATATCTCAGGATAGAGCTGGCCACCAAAGACAGCTCAGGGCAGTGGTCAAGAACTCACTCAGATTGCCCGGGTTCAAATCCCTGCTCCCCTGTGGATCAGCTCTGGGACTTTGGGCAAGACCCGTCACCTCTCTGAGCCTCTGTTAACTGGTGTTGGTCGCAGCATCTCACACGCTGGCGTATGGGATGATTAATTAAGATCACCTGTCAAAGCGTCTAAACGCCGCCGGGTGTGGTGGCAGGCATTCAGCAAGCTGCTCTTGTGGAAGACCCGAAGGACCCGGTTTCTCCTCTGACTTTTCAGAACTCGTTTTCCTCCTGGGCTTGGAAGCGTCTGAATACATGTTTATAATTTCAGACAACTTGGCCTTGCATGTGAATTAAAAAAAAAAATTAAGGCTGCGTAACATTTCCTCAACTGGTTTAGTTTTTGGTGGGAGGAGCCCCTAGCATACCCAGGGCACTTCCTGGTGAATTTTTCATCTACCATGGGTGCTGCTGGGATTAAAATATGCTATTTAATTCACAGGGTCCAGTGTGAAATGCAGGGCCCCTGGCTTAAAAATTGTTAAGACTTTCAAGGTTGTGACAGCCAAGCGTGAAACCTGGGGATGTGGCTGATGGAAACTGACCGTCGGTGGCAAAGGGAGAAAGCTGGTAGTGGGCAGGGGTCTGGGGTCAGGGACTTGCTTCCAGAATACGGGCCTCTGAGCCTGCTGCCCAGCCCCGTGGACACCAGCAGGAGAGGCTCAGGGACAGGGAGGTCGGGTGGCCCACTGTTAAAACACGCAGATGTGAGTTCTGATGTGAACTTTGATGGGAACGCATTTTGATGTGAAACATGTATTTTCTTATTCTATTTCAGTAGACGTCCCATCAAATATTGCGAAGATTATCATCGGCCCCCTCATCTTTGTATTTCTCTTCAGTGTTGTGATTGGGAGTATTTATCTGTTCCTGAGAAAGAGGTGAGTGTAAAGGGTTAACAACCAGCTCGCGCTGCATCTAAACTTACTATACATTTTACTGGTACAAAGGATGCATAGCATGTAATTTACAGATAATGATCATAATGCAACATACACTACTCTTTATCATAAACTCTCTCTGGCCAGCTGAGTCTCACCAAATGTTTTTGCCAATTGTTTTCCGCCCAAACCTTTGTAGCCAACGTATGGTTGCAGTTCACGAATGAGTGTAGTTCCAGGATAAGTGTCGACTGATACTTCGCATTAAAGAGCGAGACAAAAACGAAGATGTACATACATGCTTATCGGTAATAGGAGTGACTCTGCAGAATCAGAGAATAATTCTGAGATTATTTTCTGAGAGCACATTTTCTCAACCTTTTTGTGCCTTTTGCGATGTCATGGCTCCGGAGACGACATATTTTTAAGCTTCGTCTGCATTATTCACATTTTTGCCGTCACTTTCTCAAGCCTGGACATACAACAGAACGATAAATCAGTCTCGGTTTGTAGCGTTTGCCTACTTCTGTGGTGTGGCTGTTCCCACCGGGGCCAGTTTCCAGCTACAGACGTGATGTCACTGAGCGCAGAGTCGGGAGGAGATGAGCAGCCGCTCACCGTCACACAGTGTTTCTGCCACGCCGATGCAATAATGTAAACACGTGTGGTAACTAGGCGGGCTCAAGAGCATGGGTCCTAGTAAAGTGTATTATGATTATCAGGAAGTGGTGGCTCTTGAATAACCATCACCTTTGCTTCGTATGCAATTTACTTAATTACCAGCCCATGCGATTCAGTGTTAATAACGGCTGCATTTAACAACTGGCTTGCAAATCTCCTGAAAATTGAAAATTGTTTCTCATAAGCTGGAAAGAGATGGCTTCAGAACAGCGGTGGGTGAGCGGTTTTTAGGTGTCACGTGGAACCACCGTAAGTTACAGTTTAAGGGTGAGCACTTCCGTGGTGGCACACTTAAGTAGGCATCTGATGGGTTCCACTAAAAAAAAAAAAGGGTCCCGCATCCTCACTCCAGAGTGTATCCAGGGTTACGTGGATGCTGCTGACAAGGGTGGCGTGTGCCCCGGGGAGGCTGGTAACCTCCCACTAGTGACCCACAGAGTCCTGTGAGGATGCCTCTGTTTTTCTCATCCAGGCAGCCGGATGGGCCACTGGGACCACTGTATGCTTCTTCAAACCCCGAGTACCTCAGTGCCAGCGATGGTGAGTGTTAGCCCCCTCCTCATGGGTGACCAGAACCCTGCTGTGCAGTTCCCTTTGCCACCATGTCGAGTGACACTCAGGGGTTGACACCCGGGACGCTGAGAAGAGGCCTCTTGTTCACTTGAGCTTGCAGACCTGCCCTTGCTTCAGAAACCCTGTTACTGGGAGCAGACAGACACCTGCTGTCTGTCTGGCACCTGTTTAGATGGGCTGATCTAGCTGGTTTGGGATCTGTGGGCTGGGCTGGGAGGCCAAGAACCTCGTCCCCCAGCCGTGGGGCTGTGCAGTCTGGGGCTTGTGCCAGAGAGTGCCAAGGGTCAGAGCCAGAGAGCAGTGACCAAATTGGCTGTCCCATCAGGGAGGTGAGAGTCGGAAGCCTAGATGGGGGCCAGGGGGTTGGGGAGGGGGGAGATAAGGAGCAGGAACGAGAGGGGGCAGACGGGAGGCTGGGTGGGTACCAGGGACGCATCTGTGGAACATGGATGGGATGCTCATGTTGGTGGTAGGAGTGCAGGACGGATGGCCATATTCCCTTGACTGAACCAAAGGCCAGTGAGTGACCCCTGTGGATAAGGCCTGGCTGTTCCTTCAGACGTGAAGGCAGCTGTTGCTTTACAAGCTTCTAAAATGCTTCATGCAGCAAAAACTCAAAAAGTGATTTTCAAAGCACGAACAGCGCTGCCCAGCGAGAGGCTGCCTCGGGATGCGGGGCAGTGCGTTTGAGGGCGCCTGGGGTTTGTTTCACACAAGTCTGGTAAGACTTGCGGTCACCGAGGTGCCTGCCATGAGGAAGAAGTTTATACTCACGGATTCCTAGGAACGAGATCAGGGCCACCGGGGAAGCACCGGGGCCCGGCAGGAGGCAAGAGCGCAAGGGAGCCTGTGGGCGAGAGCCTTTGCTGTGGCTCCCACGGGAAGGGCGAGGCAGGGCAGGGCGAGACGGGGGAGGGACTAGTTTGAACCATTTTGACAGAGTCCCGGGCACAAGGGCTGTCCCTGGATGTCCGCTCCTTGGCCCTGGGGTGATCAGGGCAGGGGCACAGCGGCCCAGATCAGGGAGGGGTTGGGGTGTGGGCTCTGAACTGGCTGGTGCAGGTATGAAAGGCGGACTCCCAGGTGAGCCATTTACTACCTGTGGGAACTGGCTGCCCCGGGACAGGCAGTGCTTCCAGAGTCAGCGGGCCCTGAAAGTGTCAGAGCAGAGACACTGGACGAGGCGGCTACCCCGGGGGGAATGTGCACAGAGCCCAGGAGCAGGAGGGCATGAATGTGGATCCAGGGCCCCCTCGCCTGCTTGGGAATGGTGTTAATGACATCAGAAACGGGGGAGCTGGCCCTCAAGGCTGCCGCTGGCCTCACAGTCAGGCTAGGCCAGGCTGTCTGCTCGCGGCTGCCTCTGCCCCCCACTGGCCCGCCTCCTTCTGGGGATGCAGCGACGGCTGAGGGCAGAAAGGTGCTCGCTGAAAGCCAGAAACTGGGGCTCATGAGTCTTTTAGGCCAGGAAGATCTGGGCAGAGGAACCACACGGAATGGTCCAAGCTCAGGGTCCCAGGGGGCAGAGTGCCCCCACCCCCACCCCAGCGACCATCTATGAGTTCATTTGGGTGCAGAGCTCCTGTCTGACCCAGTGTCCTTGCAGGAGGCACTGGTCACTGTATTGTGTTTGCTCGGGCCGCAGTAGCAAAGCCTCACAGACTGGGAGGCTTAGAAACTTAATTTGATTTCCTTGCGGTCCTGGAGGCTGGACGTCTGAGAGCGAGGTGTCGGCAGGGCCGCTCTCCTTGGCTTGGAGACAGCTGCCTTCTCCGTGTGTCCCCACGTGGTCTTCCCTGTGTGTGTGGGTCTGTCCTAATCGCCTCTTCAAGGACCCTGGTCAGATTGGATTAGGGCCTCCTCAAATGACCTCATTTTACCTCGATCCCCTCTATAAAGACCCTGTCTCCAAATGCAGCCACATTCTGAGATGCCAGGGTTAGGACTTCAACATGTGAATCTGCAGGGGACACAGCTCAGCCCACAACTGGTGCAGAGGAAGGCAGGCGCATCTTGGCTTTTCTCATGAGGACTTTGTGCATTTGTCTGAGAATCATATGCTGTGTAACAAACCACCCCAAACTTAGTGGCTTAAAACCACCACCATCTCTTAGCTCACAATTTGGTGGCTTTGCCCTGGGCAGTGCTGGTTCTCCCGGTCTCACCCAGTTGGCTGCGGCTGGTCTGCAGATCCACTGGCACTGGGTGGTCCTGGATGGGCTCACTCACATGTCTGTGGGTTGGCAGGTTGGGTGCTCCCCTGCCCCCTTGGCACTTTGCAGAAAACAGGCTTGGGTGGAGAGTAGTGTCATTTGGTGGCGGGGCTCTGCACTCAGACAGGAAGGATTGGGATGCAGGCCCATCCCGTCACTTCCTGGCCAGAACCCTGGACCAGTTGTGGCTCCTTCCCGAGCCTCCACCTGTCCTATTCTTGGCTGTGTGCCCACTGCCCAGCACAGATACTGCATCACACGTCACTTAGTGATGAACGTTTGTGAGGCAGGGCTTGGGCGGGAGGTGGCCGGGGCCCCCGCGGGAGCCACTGAGGCCACTGTGTAGATAATGAGGAGCAGTGTTCCCGTGTTCTGTGTACGTGCCGGACGAGTGGGAGGTGCCCCGGGAGAAGATCGCGCTGCTGCGAGAGCTCGGGCAGGGCTCCTTCGGCATGGTGTACGAGGGCAACGCCAGGGACATCGTCAAGGGCGAGGCGGAGACCCGCGTGGCGGTGAAGACGGTCAACGAGTCGGCCAGCCTGCGAGAGCGGATCGAGTTTCTCAACGAGGCCTCGGTCATGAAGGGCTTCACCTGCCACCACGTGGTGAGTCCCACACTGCCCCTGGGAGTGGACCAAGGCTTCCTTTTATGCCTGTTCCCTCATCCCGCCGCCTCCTTCCTTCCTCCTAGGGCACAAAGCATGAGGACACTGGGTGTAGACCCCCCTGCCTGGCCCCCCTCTGCTGAGCATCCTAAGCTGGGGAGAGGGTCCCTCCCTTCTCGTTTCTCCGGTCCCATCCTCTCCCGTCTCACCCAGAGCCAGACCCTTTCCTGTTCCATCACTCTCCAGGATCCTCCATCTCTTCTATCTTTCTGGCTCCTCTGTAACCTTTAAACACAGTGTGGTCCACCCACCCCTATCTCCCTCCCCCCACCGCCAAGTCAGCACAGATTTCGTCTTCCTGCTCCCACAGTGGTCCCTTAATGTCTCCTTGCCCCACACATATTAACGAAGCGCCTGTTCTGTACTGAGCCCTGTTCCCCTCTCTGGGATGCAGCACACATCTGCCCTCTCGGAGTTCCCAATCCAGCAGGTGGAGACAGAATCTAAACACAATAGGTTAATTATGTCATACGTTAGGAGGTGATGCTATGGCAAAATGGGAAAGGAGGGCAGAGCTGGGGAACTGGGAATGCAGCAGCAGCGAAGGCATGTCTGAGCAGAGACTTAAAGATGTAGGGACTGAGCTGCAAATAGGGAACAGAGGGTCAAGCAGAGGGAGCAGCTGGTGCAAAGGCCCAGAGGTGAGAATGTGCCTTGAGTGCTCAGAGGCATCGAGGAGATATCCAGGGCTTTGCCCCGCTGTGTTGCTGTGGGTGGGCAGGTCTGTCTGCTCCCCTCACCTACCAGACTGTGAGTCCTGAAATCTTCCTCCCCCCCAAGCCCCCACCCAGCAAGATGTTGACCCTGGCATTTCAGCCAGACAGACCAGGGCTTCCCACAGTCCACTCAGCAGCAGGATGCTGTGTGTGATGGAGGTACCAGACAAGGAGACCTGGCTGCGTTGGAATCTTCCCACAGACCCTCATTCAAGAAGCCCCCTTCCCACCCATGCTTGCTTTGCAGGTCCGCCTCCTGGGGGTGGTGTCCAAAGGCCAACCGACACTGGTGGTCATGGAGTTGATGGCTCATGGAGACTTAAAGAGCTACCTCCGTTCCCTGCGGCCGGAGGCCGAGGTGAGCTGCCGCGAGGTACCGGGCAGGGCACCCGCTCCTGGCTGCGGGCACCAGTGTTGCTGAACACGACTCCGTGTTTTGACTTTAGAATAACCCTGGTCGCCCTCCCCCTACGCTGCAAGAGATGATTCAGATGGCGGCGGAGATTGCCGACGGGATGGCATACCTGAACGCCAAGAAGTTCGTGCACCGGGACCTTGCAGCTCGAAACTGCATGGTTGCTCACGATTTTACCGTCAAAATCGGAGGTGCGTCTGGCTTTCTGCTTTGAAATGTAGATCCCAGGACTTCTGATTTCAAGAAGGAATTGTCTGTGATGAGCACTTGAATCTTTTCTAATAGCGCAGAGGGGCAGGGTTTTGGACGGGGGCCCCATCCTGACACTGCAATTTAATTGCACTTGCTCATTGATTCACTTGTTCACTTCGTTAAGTAGCGTTTGGGCGGCCGCCGTGGTAGACGCGCCAGGTGCAAGGCTGAATACGCTGCCGTGACGTCACTGCCCCCGTGCCCGCTGCAGCCTTTACCTGCGCTGTCCAGCTCAGTAGCCACTGGCCACACGTGGCCATTTACAGTTACATAAATTTAAATTCAGTAAAATAAAATATTCAGTCCATCAGTTGCACTGGCCACCCTTCCCGGTGTTCAGTAGCCACCTGGAGCCATATTGGACAGTGCGGAGATAGGCCATGCTCATCATTGCGGAAAGTTCTCCTGGCCAGAGCTGTTCTAGACGAATGGTAAAATAGTTAACGCTTAGGTAAGCTAATGAAGAGGGAAAGGAGCTCTGAAGGAAGTAAGAGGTGTGTGATAAGAGAGGAAAGGCCTCTCTCTGTAAGGAGGTAACATTTTAGGCAAGACTTGCAGGACTGGATGTTGACCTGGGGGAGTTACAACACATGCAAAGGCCCTGAGGTTGCAAGGATGGCTGATGTGGTGTGAATAAAATGAACGTAGAGGGGAGCAGAGAGCAGCATGAGACGTGAGGTTAAGGGGAGAGGCGGGAGCCAGACCCGGGAGGACCTTGTCCCGGTGAGTTGTGCAGACGTCACCCTACATCCCACATCACCAGTGCGAAGCAGCAAGCGGCACGTGGCTCATGTAGCTTCTCTTGGGCAGTGGGCTGTCAGGGTCAGGGCGGAGGGAGGGTCCTGCAGGTGAGAAATGGTGGTGGGCCTGCGTGCGTCCAGGGCAATGGAGAGGAGCAGACTAGGTTAGAGAGGGATGTGGAGGGAGAGCGGGCAGAACTCACCACTGTCTCCGCTGGGGGATGTGAGAAAAGGAGGTGGGCAAAGGAGGACCCAAGCCTGGGTTTCTGGCTGGGCAGCTGGGTGGCTGGTGGGGCTGTATCCAATGGAGAACAGTAGGTTGGCTGCAGAGAGTGAGAAGTTCTGTCTGAGATGCCTGTGAGGTCATGGGTGGGAAGGAAGCGTTGCTGAGCATGGGATTGCCAAGCTGCAGGCCAGAACGTCATTTCTTTGCCACTTGGTGGCTCCTTTTCCTTCCCTTTAATGGCGGACCATTCTCTCCCCCTCAACATCCTCATGAGTGCCCTCAGAATCCATTCTCAGTGGATTTGACCGTGCCCCAGGTGCGCACACGCCGGGGTGGAGCGGTAAAGATGGCAGACAGCGGGGCCACGGGCTGAAGGTTAAGAGCATGTGAACTGTTTGTTGGCAGACTTTGGAATGACCAGAGACATCTACGAAACGGACTACTACCGGAAAGGCGGCAAGGGCCTGCTCCCCGTGCGGTGGATGGCACCCGAATCCCTGAAGGACGGGGTCTTCACCACTTCTTCCGACATGTGGTGAGTCGCGGGTGGGCTGACAGCCACAACGCTGGGCTTCAATTCCAGGTTGCTCTACTAGAATGACCAGCAAGACGGTCAGGCAAAAACTGCCCTCCTCGCGGAAGGCGATGTCAGGGCTGGGGACCCTTCTGCAGCCTCTGTGACGTTTCTGTGGAACTAATCTCACAGGCATTTCTGAACCGCAGCATGGATTGTTTAAAGAACTGGCCAGCCAGGTTCTCGTACACCAAGAAGGTGTGTGTGTGTGTTTTAATGGCTTCCTTGGTACTACTTCCCAGCTGTCCTTGGCAGGTCCTTCGGCGTGGTCCTCTGGGAAATTACCAGCTTGGCAGAACAGCCTTACCAAGGCCTATCGAATGAGCAGGTGTTGAAATTCGTCATGGATGGAGGGTATCTGGATCAACCCGACAACTGTCCAGACAGAGTGTAAGTGCGGAAAAGGGTGCAGTGTGTGGGCCGCTCGTTCAGAAGCCTTTGCCCTTTGCGTGGCTACTTGGGTTTGCGTGTCCTGTGTCTACATGTGCTTGTGTTAGCCCGTTGTATCTCTGCACGCACACTTGTGTTTGCACATCGTGTCACTGTACATATTTGTGTGTGTGTGTTGCATCTTTGCATGCGATGCTTTACTGCACATCGTGTCTTTGGGAGCTTGTACAGGAAACCCCGCAGCGGTGGTTGCCTTGGGAGAAGGGAGCCGGGGAGCAGGACGGTGCCTGTCCTGAGCGAAGTCAAGGTCCCCTGCGGAGTGAGGGCTGGGCGTGCAGGGCGGACCCCTAGGGTCAGTCAACGCAGCTGCACGCACCCATCGCGGGCAGGGACACGTCCAGTGATGAGCTGCAGTCCTCACCGAGGGGCAGCACCAGGACGGGCCTTTCTGGATCTGGTTTTGGGATGAGGCGGGGCCCGTGGCTCTCTTGCCAAATCACCTTTCAGCCGCCGTAGAAGTGCGGCTTCTGCCTGCTGCCGTCGGCCGTCGCGGTGGGTGTGGACCGCGCGGCGGGGCCTCTTGGCGGTGGGGGGACCCGGGGCTCACCCTCCACGTGCCCCTCCGTCCCACAGCACCAACCTGATGCGCATGTGCTGGCAGTTCAACCCCAAGATGCGGCCGACCTTCCTGGAGATCGTCGACCTGCTCAAGGACGACCTGCACCCCAGCTTTCCCGAAGTTTCCTTCTTCCACAGCGAGGAGAACAAGGCGCCGGAGAGCGAGGAGCTGGACATGGAGTTTGAGGACATGGAGAGCGTCCCGCTGGACCGGTCGGCACACTCGCAGCGGGAGGAGGCCGGGGGCCGGGACGCGGGGTCGGCGCTGGGGCTGAAGCGGGGCTACGAGGAGCACATCCCCTACACCCACATGAACGGGGGCAAGAGGAACGGCCGCATTCTGACCCTGCCGCGGTCCGACCCTTCCTAACGGCCCCTGCGGGGCGCAGGGTTCCCGGCTTCACCTCCTTCCGGTTTGAAGGCCTGCAGAAAACTCAGGACTTGCACACGACTCTGCCACAGTGTCAAACGGAGCTCGGAGATCATGGCGATCCATTTCTGTTCATCTGATGACTTCAAAACACATCGGTTCCATTGCCAACTTGACTCGTCTGAGAAGTTAACTGTGAACATAGAGGGGAAAGGTTTCCACCGCTGCTGTCCCTTCGGGCCACTGCGGTTTCAAGCCAAGATGCTACTTTTTCGGTAGATTGAAAGAAAGCACCCGTTTTTACTTTTTTTTTTTTTTTTTTTTTTTTTTTGCTGGTGTCTGAGCTACAGTATAAAACATAACACTTGTTTGTGGAACAAAAGTTTGAAAGAAAGAAAGAAAACCCTGTCCAAGTAGAATTCCAAGCTTTGTCGAGTGGGCTTCGAGAAAGTTGTTCTCATCCAGGCTGAAGGATTTTTTTTTCCTTCACAAAAATCAGTTCCTCAAATTGACCAATAGCTGCTGCTTTTGTACTTTCGATAAGGACCTGCAGTCCGGGTGTGTGGCGCACGTGTGTGCTTGGGCGTGTGTGTGCGGGTGTGTCCAGGTTAGGCGCAGCTGGCGTGTGTGTGTGGAGTGTGTGCGCACGCCAATCATTTGGGCTGAGTTGTCGCTTTGGGGATCGGCTCATGAAGGTTCTGCTTTTCAAGTACGTGAGCCCTTGGTCCCCCGCCTCCTTCCTCCTTCTTTACTGGGAGACTGTGCCCTCAACAGGTTCTTCTTTTGTCCCAAGTCTAGCCTCAGGAGTCTTCTCTCCCTTAACTTTGGTGAAAAACGTTTTCCGGGAGCCGAGGGAGTCCTTTGGAGTGATAATGGATCTTTACAAGACCAAAACAAAGCCAGGACATTT